CTTGTTGCGCACATATTTGTCGATGACTGTTTCGACTTCTACTTCTTCTATACTTTTTTGTGCGAGCGACATATGACTTATCAAGAATAGGTATATGTGTGCGCTTTCAAGACTGATATGCTTTTCGGACTGGTTCCCTTCGTCGTGTGGATCATAGCGGTCGTAGTATATTTGCAGGTAATATTTTTGTCTTATTGGCTCCAACCAATCCATCAACATAGCTACCCATTTGGCATCATGTTTTGAGTAGGAAATGTGTATTTTTACCATGTTTATAGCTTATTTTGTGCCGAGTATAGCTGCTTTTCCTACGAGTTCGGTGCCAAACCACGGAGAATTTTTGGAGTAGGATCGGTTGGTTTTTTCATCGAATTGCCATTTTGTGTCGGGCGAATGAAGCACAAAATCATGGGCATGGCTTCCAACCTCTAGCACAGGCACAGGCAGGCGAAGTATTTTTCGGGGAGCGATAGCCCAGAAGTTGCATAACTCTTGTAGCGTGAATACCTCTTTTAGGTAGGTTTGGCAAAGCGAATAGGCAGTCTGAAGCCCAATCATACCAAATTCGGCGTAAGGAAATTCCAGGTTTTTCGATTCTTCATCCCAAGGTGCATGGTTGGTACATAGGCAGTCAATAGTGCCATCTTTTAGCCCGGCAATGAGCGCTTGGCGGTCACTTTCTTGTCGCAATGGCGGAAAAACCTTCCAATTGCTATCAAAAGTATCCAGTTTGGCATCTGTAAAGCAGATATTAGCGAGCGCTACCGAGGCAGTCACCTGCAATCCTTTTTGTTTAGCTTCTTTGATCATTTCTACGCTCTTGGCGCTCGAAATGCAATGCACGTGCAATTTTCCTTTTGCATATTCGAGCAGGCTAAGGTCGCGTTGCAGTGCAATTTCCTCAGCAATAGCAGGCAGGCCTTTTAGTCCCAATGAGGTGCTCATACGGCCTTCGTGCATCTGTCCGCCTTGCGAAAGACTCTTCATGTGGGGCTGATTGATGACCAAACCTTCAAAAGCTTGCACATATTGCAGGGCACGCAGCAGCAAGCCCGAATCCTGTATCGGGTGTGCACCATCTGAAAAAGCGACTGCGCCGCCTGCATGCATATCATATAATTCAGCTAGGTCTTTTCCTTTTACATCCACCGATATGGCACCTATGGGCAATATTTTGGTGCCGTTTTGCTGCGCGCGATGGTGCAAAATGTATTGTACCTCCGATTTGGAGTGTACAGCCGGGTTGGTTTCGGGAAAAACAGCCAACACTGAAAATCCGCCATCTTTAGCGGCAGCGGCTACACTCAGCAGGTCATCGCGATGCTCAAACCCCGGGTCGCATGCTTGCGTGCCTATATCTGCCCAAGCCGGCATAATGCTCGCGCCTTGGCAGTCAATAATCTTGCCTGAATGTGCCAAATTGTTGCCAATTGCTGCAATGGTGCCATCCTCGGCTATCGCAATATCTACGGTAGTGCCTGGCGCTGCATTGCTTTGCACGCAAAATATATTAGCATATATATTCATATATTAGTCTAAGTACCAGTAATTATCTTTTGAAACCCATTTGCCATCTTGTTTGAAAAGCGATGCATTGGCATCTTTTATCAACACCTCATCTAAGTAAAAGCTTTCATGGATGCCCTTCTTAAGTAGAAAAATATCCATAGTGGATTGGTCTTCTTTCACCTCAAAACCAAGCTCATACATTGCCCAGTCATCAGCCATTTGTTTTAGATGAAAACGCATGATTTCGTGGCGTTTTTGTACAATATGCGCATCGGCAAGGCTTTTTTCTACAAGATTGCCTTCTACAATCATTCCTAGGTCTTTCCTTGCGTAGGTCCACATACTAAAGGTGTAATGCCCTTTAGGCATAGCGCCTTGGTGCAGCCATACTGTATCGTGCATCATGGCCATGTGCGCGCCGGCACCTCTAAATTTTTGCTCCGTTCCCTTTTCGTCATCGTAACTTCGATATTCCACAAAAGGGTTGGCAAGATAGGTGCGCCAACCTTTAGTCACGTGGTGGTTGGCAGCCTGATCATAGCCAGCAAGCACATCTTTATAGTGGTCAGCAGATGTTTTTCTGATATGATCGATGGCTAGCTCCATGAACTTAAATTCCTCATTTTCATACAGCAGCTTGGCATATTTCAATAATTGGGCGTATTTTGTGGCTGTTTCCTCCCATTTATCTTTAGCTACCACCAGCAACAGCGGACGGGTATCGGGCAGATCGCGCAATATTTCCGGTGGTTTCGAGTGCTCCAACACCAATGAAAGGCTTCTGCACATCTGTTCAGTAGAGGTACGACTCATGTTTACGCCCATATCTGGGCAACCTGTCTTATAAGCAGTACGTTGCACGGTCATGAAAAGGTTCATTTGAGGTTCAAGCCAGATGTTTTCTGAGCCCAAATGGTAATACGGTAGTGGAACCATTGCTTGGTACTGCGCAAAATTAATTGCGGTGAGCCAACCGTCTTTTGTGCTGTTTTCTTGGGGTAGTAGGCTATTGGGCACCAAATCTATCGTGCGTTTGGATTGAAACTGATACACCTCATACACGAAAAGACTGAGCGGCAGCAACAAAACACACCATTTCAGAACGGGATCTTGGTAACGCTTGCTCAGGTTGTAGATGGCATAAAATGCAATAATATTTCCTACATAAAAGAACACCCAATTGAACCGCCCCATGCTTCTAAACTGTTTTATGAACCCAAAAACAGCATCAAGCGCGGGAAAAAAGTCCAAAACATAAGGAATCACGCACGAAAATATGACAATAAAAAAACTCGCCCACCATATATTATATAGGTAATTTGCATTGAATTTGTGGCTATTTTCATCCACCCACGATTTGCCGAATATCCTGAACCTCGAGAAAATAGCCCAAAGTGTAAACAATGTAACCACCAGACCAACATAAGAAAAGGCCTCAGCATTGATTCGTTTTATATCCTGTATATTATTATCTATCCACTCGTATATGGGCATGCCTTCGTAGGGCAAAAAAACGCCTTCCCACTCCCCACAATACGCCAAAAAACCGTATGGATTGCCCGGACGATCGGGTATAGAACCATCTGCGCGTATCCAAAGGCTGAGCAAAATGAATGGCGCCAATATCATCACTATCCAATGATTGAGGCGTTTGCGAAAATTGCGCCACGTAAAATCTCGCAAAACTGCGCTTATCAAATATAAACTGACAAACAAACCGGCCATGCCGAAGTAGTAAAAATGCAATTGCGCCGCAAATATTACCAAAAAACCGATCAATAAGCTAAAATACCGCTTACTTCTGCGCTGCTCGTAATGCCATAAAAACAAGAGTAACATCGGTATTACCCACATGTGCGACAAGCCAAAATGCCCCACAAACCGAAGATTTTGGGGTGAAAATGCCACCAAACCTATTGCTAGGGTGCCACCAAGCCAGACCGGAAAGTGTAATTTTCGCAGGAGAAGAAATAGTACCAATACGCTCAACAGTATAGATGCAAGCAAGAAAACATTCATTGCTCCTACGGTATAATCACTTATATTGCTTACATTTTTGCTCCAAAACTGCAAAAAATTGGCAAAAATGGGCTGATTGTCAGTAAAGAGCTCATGTTCTCCATAAGGATAATTCATACCTGTGTAGTGCAGATAGGAACTATCATGCTTCACATGATAAGCTGTGGTCATATAGTTTTTTAATCCATCTGAACCTGAGCCGATGAAATAATGGTTGGGCTGAAAAATCCAAGCCTGATGCTTAAAAAACAGAAAAATTGCATAAATAAATAACACACTCAAGCCCCCTAAAAAAGTGTCTGAGCGCTTAGCGTGTTGAAATTTTTCAATTATAGTATGTTGAATTGACTCCAAAAGTTATTTTTTTTCCTTGCATCGAGAAAGCGAATACCTTCTCCGGATACATTGTTCATTTCATAGTAATCTCAAACAATACGAATATTTTCGTACCGAGGTACCCCAAAATCCTAAGGTGTTTTTTTGTTCGGCTCCACGGCTTTACTAGCTGCGAGTGCTCCGTTCTTTCCAACGCTGCAAAATTAGCGTTAAATTTCATTTATCAATCATATTTACACAATAATTCTATTTTTGCGTGAAATATTCATGTGTACCCCATTTCTAATCGGTTGTGGATGTAGCATTGTCATTTAAAATTATGGCAGCCGCCTCCCCAAAAACTGCCTCTTGGTGGTGAAGACTAAGATATGCAATACACCCAAGAGGCTGTTTTCGGAGGGCGCCCCAATAATGGTTAATTTTTAATTACCTTGCCTTTAATTCTTAAGCACACCATATTTGTTTTATAGTGTCCTTAGTGCAAAACTTTGTATCTTCGTGGTTACATTGTGTGCTTTCGTGCAAAACTTTGTATCTTCGTGGTTAAACCAAATTGCCCCAAAAATGTTAGGTGTGAATGGCAAAAAAGAACAAAAACATCAAAACTGGACAGCCGGAGGTGCAGAATCCTATCGATAAGGATAAGGTGGCAGAATTTCCGGGACTGTTGCCCTATGCGCATAGCGTGGGGGGAGCGGTTATACGCCCCGAGGACAAGGGAAAAATACGCGGCAACGCTATGATTGCTATGTACGACCAAACGGATAGGCAAGTTGACCAGCTGAAACAACAAATGAACACGCTGCTACAGCAAGCTGAGGAGCTGAAAAATAGGATGGCTATCTCGGAAATAATATATGCAGCAGAGGTGCCTTTTCACCCGATTATTCACCATATTTACTACCTTTACCAACGAAAAAAGGACGATTCGCACTTGATTTCGATGATTGCCCCCGAGGAATGGGGCGATAATATCCCTTACCATTATATTGCTCGGGTGAGGCTTTTGGGTGACCATACTTGGGAGGTGCAGGATGGAAACGTTGCAAATTAAAAACTTCATACCTAAATCAAAGTTAATAATGATGAATATTAGATATATTTGCTTGCTTTTCTGCTGTTTTTTGTTTGGTCAGCCCGTTCTTCGCGCCCAGATAGAAGATAATTTTACGGACGGCAATTTCACTGCAAATCCTACGTGGCAAGGAGATGTAGGCAGTTTTGCGGTGAATGCAGCAGGTCAATTGCAGCTTATGGCACCTGCCGGAGGCTCAGCATTGTTGCAAACACAAGGCAATATTCCCGATAGCGCCGTCTGGCGGGTGTGGGTGAAGCTCAATTTTGCGCCATCTACTTCCAATTACCTGAAGCTTTATCTGATGTGCGATCAGCCGGTGCTTACTTTGGGCAATGGCTACTTCCTACTCATTGGCGAAAGTGGCAACGTAGATGCTTTGAAGCTCTATCGGCAGGATGGCAGTACTTCAGTGTTATTGGGCAGCGGAAGTGTTGGCACTGTAGCTGCTGAGCCGGCTTTAGCGCGCATAAAGGTTGTTCGTAAGGTGAATGGCGATTGGTCATTGTCGGCCGATTATAGCGGAGGGCAAACTTTGGTGCCGGAGTTTACGGTGAATGATGATACCTACCAAGGCGGCGAGAATAAGTATTTTGGGGCATATTGTCTTTTTAGCGAGTCTAGGAAAGACCAATATTTTTTCGATGATATTTCTGTACAGCCCGATTTGCCTGATACTCAACCACCAAGTGTAGTGGCTGTGACCGCTTTGGACTCGCTTCGTTTGGAAGTGGATTTTGATGAAGCTTTGCTTTCTAGCACCGCTTTGGATGTAGCGCGTTATGCTGTGAATAATGGCATTGGCCAGCCGGTAGAGTCGGCATTGGTAGGTACTACAGGCACAAAAGTGCTCCTTAAATTTGGTTCGCAATTTCAGAATGGAAATACCTACACCCTCACGGTGCAAGGTATGAAAGATGCGCTTGGCAATACCCAGACTCAGGCGCAAACTATTGATTTTGAGTATCTTCTACTGAGTGTGCCGCAGCCTGGCGACCTTGTAGTGAATGAGATATTGTTTAATCCCAACACCGGCGGTTCGCGCTATATAGAGTTGCTCAACGTAAGTACAAAGATATTGACGCTGAAAAACTGTTTCCTAGGCGATTATTCTAAGTCAACACCGGATGTAGATGCGATTGCAGGCGAAATAGTCATGATACCCGGAGATTATGCGGTATTTGCCACCGATAGAGCCAATATACTCGAGCGTTTTGTGGTGCGAGAGCCAAATTTTCTTTATGCTAATAGTGTACCCACCTTGAGCGATACCGATGGTAATGTCACGCTTTTGTATAAAAACGGGGTGGAAACACATACAATTGATAGTGTGGCGTACAGTTCGGCATGGCACAGTCCATTTTTAACCGTTTCGGCAAGGGAAGGCATTGCTTTGGAGCGCGTATATCCCAATTTGCCATCCAACAAGTCCACATCGTGGGCATCGGCAGCCGGCACTACCAATGCAGGCACACCTACCGGCAAAAACTCGCAGTATCGCATGCCCGGTGCTGCTGCTGACAACGAGATACTCACAATAGGCACTAATTCGTTTTCACCAGACGGTGATGGATATAATGACTTCTTGGAAATTGTGTATAATACGCCAACGGGAGGTTATACCGCATCGATGATAGCCTATGATAGCGATGGCAACAAGACCAAAAGTCTGATAAGAGAGGAGCTGCTAGGCACTACGGGCATATTGCGTTGGGATGGCGATACCGACAATGGCGAAAAAGCACGACCTGGTATTTATATTCTGTATTTTGAGTTGTTTTTGCCAACAGGCGAAGTACAACGCGAGAGGAAAACAGTAGCTTTGGTGTATAAATAGTGGGGTTATAGGTTCTAAGTTGCCATGATTTGCGGTTGAAAACGGCTTGTTTTGTAAATTGGTTGACATATTGAGGTGTTTTGGTATGCGTTTTTGTTTTTTTAACAATGTGGCAAAACTTTTGCTTGGTTATGGATGATAGTTTTAATTTTGTACCCAATTTTTCCACATTCGTAAATAATATGGATAGCTTGATAATAGCATATTGTAGGGATAATAAAGATCTAGCTGATCAAATCAGCAACAACCTTGGACTTATCGGTATTCCCTTTGAGCATGTAACGAATATGCCTGGGGCTACACTGGGTACTTTTGCCCAAACCCTACTGCAAACCACCGATCCTGTATTGCTCCTTGTTACAAAAAACTTCCTTTGCAACCTCAATTGCATGTATGGAGCAAACGAGCTGCTCAGCTATATGCAACAACACAATAGAGCGCTTTTCATTGTAGCTGATGGCAAGACTGGGGATGTAGCATTTTCTAATGGCGTACCAAGAGCAGAGGCTACCGAATTTGAGAAAGTATCTCAAGCGATGTACTACGTGAACTTCTGGCAAAACAAGTATTTTGAGATAAGCAAAAAACTAGAAAATGCGCATGAGGATGAGAAACCGGCTATGTTGGGAGAGCAAGGCTACTATGGGCACATTATCCAAAATATTTCGGATGTCATCACCTTATTGAAAGATAGTAATTATGTGCGTTGGGAACAGTTTGTTGCCAACGATTTTGAATTGTTTTTTCGCAAATTTGGTATTTTGGAATGGCATTCGCAATACCAGAATCTACTTGCCAACAGAAACAAAGCCGTGCAAGTGCAAGAAGTCCACACCTTTACCTCCAAAATGGATACCGAGCAGCCCAAAACTGTGGATGATATTGTAGCCCAAGAGCCACCCTCTGTGTTTACTCAAATGGAATCTTTGATAGCGGAAATATCGCAAGAAGAAATGGCCTTGCACGATGTAGCTCATGTGAAAACAGAGGTGACGGAAGAGCCAGACGATGACGATTTGGACGATTTGCAGCCCAATTTACAGCAAAAATTGGAGGTGCCTTCGCCTATGGATATGCCCGGGCTGCAGTCGGTGGAGCGCATAATGCCGACAGCGAAGCAAACCAATGAAGCATTGATGGAGCGGTTTGAGCATGCAAAACATTTACTTTATGAGAAAAAAGACGCCAACCAGGCGCATATAGAACTTGAAAAGCTCTTTGATACCGGTTTTCCTGAAGATGTCTTGTACAACCTCTTGGGTGAAGTGGCATTTGTGAAAGGCGAATTTATCTTTGCACGCAATTGCTGGGATAGAGTGACCAATATCAACCCGAAATTTCCGTTCATCTTTCTTAAACTGGGCAATCTTACCAAAAACCACTTCAATGGTTTTAAAAAGACTTCGGCAGAATATTACAAGAGAGCCATTCAAGAAAATCCGGAAAACCCCACAGCCTATTTTGAGTTGGCCGATGTAATGCACCAATATCTCGATAAGGATAAAAAAGCCACCAAATATTATGAGAGAGGTTTGCAGATAAATCCGCGACATATAGCTAGTTGGAGAAAATTGGGCAACTTATACAAAAAACTAGGTGAACTTTCAGAAAGTGAACGATGCCTTGCCGAGGCCAATAGGTTGGAAGAAGCACAAGCGCCTAAGCCAACCGGATTACCTCCAATCCCCGAATCTACCCCAACTCCCGAACAAGTAAGCAGCCCCAAAGCGTTAAAAATAACCTCCGAAGTGCCGCCTATTGCACAACAACAGGAGCAAGTAGAACATGAAAGACCTGTTGCGCCGCCCAAAACCCTCCAAATTGTGCTCATCACAGGTGCTACCTCGGGCATCGGATTGGCAACCGCAAAGCGTTTTGCTGAGCTTGGCTGCAAACTGATACTGACCGGAAGGCGCCGTGAGTTGCTTATGGCTGCCCAAGCAGAGCTTGCCAAGGAAAATCCGGGCACCCAGATAAAATTGCTCAATTTTGATGTGCGTGAACCCGAAACTGCTCGTGCTGCACTCAATTCATTGCCCGAAGATTGGCAAAATATCGATATTTTGGTCAACAATGCCGGTCTCGCTAAAGGTTTTGATCCGATTCATGAAGGCAAGCTAGAGCATTGGGAAACCATGATTGATACCAATATCAAAGGACTGCTGTACGTCACGCGTTTGGTTGCGCCTCACATGGTAGCACGCCGCTCGGGGCATATCATCAATGTTGGCTCCTCTGCCGGCAAAGAAGTTTATCCGAATGGCAATGTGTATTGCGCCACCAAATACGCCGTTGAAGCGCTCACCAAGAGTATGCGCCTGGATTTGTACAAATATAATATCCGCGTAAGTCAAGTGAGCCCCGGACATGTAGAGGAAACCGAATTTGCCATCACTCGCTTCGACGGCGATAGCGAAAAAGCAGCTATTTACTCCGATTTTCAGCCGCTCAAAGCCGAAGATGTAGCCGACGCTATATTTTATATGGCTACGCGACCTCCACACGTGAACATCCAGGACATTTATATGTTTGGTGTACAGCAAGCCGGTAACAATCATATCGATAGAAGTGGACGATGAGCTCCATTCCGGCACATCTTTCACCATTCAGCGCAGTCTCTTGAAAAAAATTATACTTAAAAAAGGCAAAGAAGAAGCACTACTCCGACAACATCCTTGGGTTTTTTCGGGTGCCATAGGCCGCACCGAAGATGGCACTCCACAAGATGGCGAGTGCGTTGTCGTACAGAATCACCGACAAGAATTTCTTGCGCATGGGCATTACAATAATGGTAGCATAGCTGTACGGATATTGAGTTATGTCCTTTCTGATGATTTACAAAACCCCGATTTCTGGCTTAAGCGCTTCGAAAATGCTTTTTCCATGCGCAAAACCATTGGCTTGCCTCAAGAAGATGTCACCAATTGCTTCCGACTCGTACATGGTGAGGGCGACTACCTCCCCGGATTGATTGTAGATGTATATGCACACGTAGCTGTGGTACAATGCCATTCTGTAGGTATGCACCTTCAAAAAGTGCTCATTGCCCAAGCTATTATAGATGCCTCGAAAGGCATTGTAACTGCCGTATATGATAAGAGTAAAGAGTCGCTGCCCGGCAATGCAGCCCGCGCTATGGAAAATGGTTGGCTCGTTGGTACCGCAGAAACACCGCTCCAAGTCTGTGAAAATGGCAATGTTTTTCAAATAGACTGGGTCACCGGACAAAAGACAGGCTTTTTCCTCGATCAACGCGACAACCGTCAATTGCTCGGGCATTATGCCAAAGGAAAGCGCGTACTCAATACCTTTTGCTATACCGGGGGCTTTTCGCTCTACGCTTTACAAGGCGGGGCTACACTCGTGCATTCCGTAGATGTGTCAGCTAAGGCAATGGCACTCACCGAAACCAATGTACAGCTAGCAGGAGAAGTAGCTGCAGCCCGTCATCAAGGCTTCACCGAAGATGTGATGCCCTTCCTGAAAAACGATACCACACTTTACGATATCGTCATTGTGGATCCACCGGCCTTCGCCAAAACGCTCGATAAACGCCACAATGCCGTACAAGGCTACAAACGCCTCAATGTGGCTGCCCTCCAAAGAGTAGAACAGGGCGGACTGTTTTTTACTTTTTCTTGCTCGCAGGTGATAGATCGCGCTTTGTTTTACAACACCATTGTAGCAGCAGCCCTCGAAGCCGGCCGCAAAGCTAGAGTTATTCACCATCTCAGCCAATCACCCGATCACCCGGTGAGCATTTTTCACCCGGAAGGAAGTTATCTCAAAGGCTTGGTGCTCCAAATAGAGTAAAAAAATACCCTAACTATTGTACACATTCAGAAATTGTTATACCTTTGCCTCCCCAAAACATGAAAATAATACGCAATAGCGTTTATACGGGTCATAGCTCAGTTGGTTAGAGCGCCACGTTGACATCGTGGAGGTCACAGGTTCGAATCCCGTTGATCCGACAAATATTAAACTGGTCATGCCTGAATACTTAGCCCAATTGCAGCAGGCACTGCTGATAGAGAAAAAGGAAGACCTTGAACAATACAAAGCCTTAGTACAAGCATTATCCTTGCACGAGCGCGTCCAAAAAGGCTTCAGTTGGTACCCACTTCAAGTTATTCAGACTGGCTTTGCTTATGGCGACAAAGCTTACATCATTGTAGAACGCACCGGCGGACAGCTAGATCAGCCACACCAACTCCGTTCTGGACAGACCATCAGCTTTTTCTGCAACCAACCCCACGTTGTACAGCCTGAAAAGCAAGGCATTATCAACTTCGTGCAGCGCAACCGCATGAAAATCATCCTTTATGCCCATGATGTACCCGACTGGATCAATATGGGTGCCCTAGGCATCGATATGGTATTTGATGAACGCTCCTACAAAGAAATGGAGTCAGCCCTCGCCAAAGTCATCGCCGCCAAAGGCAATCGCCTGGCAGAACTTCGCGATATTTTTTCCGGCAAAATAGCACCCCAACAAGTTTTGATACCTCATCAAATCGACCTACCGAACCTCAATGCCAGCCAAAATGCAGCCATTAGCCATATTTTGCATACCAATGACGTTTCGCTCGTGCACGGACCACCCGGCACCGGCAAAACCACCACCATCGTAGCCGCCATACAACTCCTCACCAGGACCGAAAGCACCGTACTCGTTTGCGCCCCTAGCAATACCGCCGCCGATCTCCTCACCGAGCGTCTGGCCGAAAAAAACCTCAAAGTCGTGCGCATAGGCAATATCAGCCGCATGGACGACAATATCATCCCTTACACCCTCGATTCCCTGCTCTCCAACCATCCTGACAGCCGACACATAAAAAAAGTGAAGATGCAGGCCGCCGAAGCACGTCGCCAAGCAGGCCGGTTTAAGCGTACATTCGATAGAGACGACCGCCTGGAAAGGCAGCAACTCAAAGCCGAAGCCTACGAATTGCTCGCTTGGGTCACCCAATTGGAAGACAAATTGGTCAACGATCTCCTCACCGATGCCGACGCCATCATTTCCACGCTCGTAGGCGCGGCGCACCCCGTGCTCGACAAATTTCGCTTCCGCACTGTAGTCATCGACGAAGCAGCACAAGCCCTCGAGCCTGCCACCTGGATACCCATTCTCAAGGCGAGTAGGGTAGTGCTAGCAGGCGATCCTTTGCAGTTGCCCCCAACCGTAAAGAGCCACGAAGCCGCCCGAAAAGGGCTATCCAAGACGCTTTTGGAGCGCGCCATTGCGCATTTTCCTTATGTTTCCTTACTAAATGTGCAGTATAGGATGCACTCGGCCATCATGGGATTTTCCAACGATTACTTCTACCGCGGCGAATTGACAGCCGACAGCCAAGTAGCCGAAAAACGCCTCGTCTGCCTCGAAAAACTGACCGATATAGTCCATATTTTCGAGCCGGTGGTGTTCATCGATACCGCCGGATGCGATTTTGAAGAAAAGCAAGTGATACCCACCAACGCCAACAAAAACGACCCATTCAAAGCCACCAGCCGCTACAATCCCGAAGAAGCACTCCTCGTGCGGGAGCATATTTTGAAGGTACTCAACCGATTTGAGCCTGAAAATCTGCCATCTTTTGGCGTACTTTCGCCCTACCGTGAGCAAATCAACCACCTCGAAGAGATCCTGCGCGGCGATGCAGAAATAGCACCTTTTTTTGATAAATTCGCCACCGAAAGCCTATATAAGGTTCTGACAGTCAGCACAATAGATGGATTTCAGGGGCAAGAGCGCGACGTCATGTACATATCGCTCGTGCGCTCCAACAACAAAAACGAGATAGGTTTCCTCTCCGATTACCGCCGCATGAACGTCGCCATGACCCGAGCTCGCCAGCTCCTCGTCATCATAGGCGATAGCGCCACCATAGGCAACAACCCCTTCTACAGTGCCATGCTCGACTACTGCGCCGCCCATGGGCAGTACCAAACAGCATGGGAATACCTGCAATAACCATCTGGGTGTGCCGCCGAAAACCGCCTTTTACATTACGGCGAATCTTGGTGTTCCCGCAGGCGGTTTCGTCGTCGGGCTATCATGCATATATTCATTTGTTACATTCACACATTCATATAGCCCTTTCACGAATTATGTGTTTGACCAAATACAAAAAGCTACTACATTTGTGCATTATTCATTAATAATTAAATTTTTATGAAAACTCAATTCATCAGCCTAGCTGTTTTGATGGCAATTGCACAATCAATTTTTTCCCAGCCGTGTCTTCCGCCTAATGCAATCTATCCACTTAAAGGTAATAATACCCAAGTGTATGTACACAATGGAGGCACTTTTTTTTATAGTGATAACGGTGGATACTTCCCAAACTTCCAAGCCTCTAGCCCAGCCAATCCGACAAGTATTTTTGCAGCGTCCCTATGGCTCAGCGGCACTGATGTCAACCAAAACAACAGAGTGGCAGGCAGTAATTACCCAACAAGTACATCCAGTTTCTTCCCGGGTCCATTAAGTATCTCACTAACAACTACAAATGAGGTATGTGGAAATTGGAATAGAGTTTTCGCTGTAAAAGGCGAAGAAATTTTGGCACACATTCAAGACTTCGCAGACGGATCTATTCAAACACAAATACCCTCCATATACGGGTGGCCAGGAAATGGAAACCCATATTTTTTAGATTTAGTCGGATTTCCTTTACCCAATTCCGCTACAGGGCTTGCTCCTTTTAATGATCTAAATGGCGATGGTATATACAACCCTGACCAAGGAGACCACCCAGTATTAATCATTGAACAAGACGTGTCCTCGATGATTCCGGCAGAAATGGCATGGTACATCATGAATACCGGAAACGGTGCGGGTGCTGCGACCAATACCGGTACCCTTCCGCTCAACATCGAAATACACGTCACCGTATATGCCCTACAATGCGACAACGATACTTTGCTTAACAATACCATATTTACAAAGCACTCTTTGATTAACCGAAATCTAGAGCAAATTGAAAACTTTCGCGTGGGTTTATGGGTTGACTTTGACCTCGGTTGTTATATTGATGATTTTATTGGCAGCCTCCCCGAAGGAAACACTTTTTTTGCTTATAATGGCGATGCGATTGATGGCTATCCAAATACATCCTGTGCAGGTGGTTTACCAACGTTTGGCGATGCCCCACCTATCCAAACGGTGACCTTCCTCAATCATCCTTTGCATAAATTCCTCTCAACTACAACGGCTTCTGCTCCACCTACTTTGCCTCCTTTTCAAAGCCTTGGACAACAAATACCCGCTATGATGGAAGGTTATTGCGCTCCGGGCACGATATTGACCGTTGGTGGTTCCGGTTGCAATCCTATAACACCTAATTCGGTTGTTGCTAATCACTTGTTCCCCGGAGACCCCGCAAATACTGACAATTGGACCATGTGTTCAGATTCTATACCGGCCTTCGACGTAAAAGGTATTGGGAGTACTTTTATTGGCGATTACTTTCCGGGGCAAATCGTTCATTTCAACACGATGTGGTCCACGCATTTTGGTGTGCAACAGCCTTGCAATATTGGAAACATAGCTTCAGATATAGAAATACTTAAAAGTATATATATGAGCAAATTTTCGCAAAATTATTGCATAGAAACCTCTACCAATCAGCCAATTGCAGTGGAATTGGCAGTAAAACTAAGTCCAAATCCGGCAAGTAATACGGTGAACATAGCTTGTGCAAATCATATCATGCAAGATATCAGTGTGCTTGACCTCAACGGACGCAGACTTATACACCAGAGAGATGTTAATAGTAACAACTACCAACTTGCTACACAGGAACTAACAGCTGGACTATATTTCCTTGAAACAAATACATCTATTGGTAAAATGGTACAAAAATTGGTCATTTTAAAGTAATTGATTTTTATAATACTTATTTATGCCCTTTGGAGCTTGATTAGAGATTTCAAATAAATGAACTATCTCTATGTGTATAGGTGCGCCACGTGCTTGGGAGTAGTGTCGCGCTAGCGGGAAAGTCACCTTGTTGAGTTAGGATAAGCCCATTTGGGCGTGCCGCCGAAATCCGCCTTTTACATTTCGGGGAATCTTAGTGTTTACAGCAGGCGGTTTCGGCGTCGGGCTATCCACTGCAATAGCCCTTTTTGTGCCTTTTTAGGCTTTGTGCTTTTGTGTTTCGGGTAATTATGTTTGCGACACCACCATGGTTTTCGTAGGTGTTTTTACAAAAAAGGCACAAAAAGGGCTATTTCCGTTTCTATCCCTCACGCTTTACGATTTACGATTGTTTCGATTTACGAGGTACGATTGTTTCGATTTACGATTTACGCCCTTCGCCTTCAAAATTCTGCATTCATGTATTCTGCATTCATGTATTCTGGATTCTTGTACTCAAAATTTCAAAATTTCCGCCCTTCGCCCTCCTTCAACATTCATGTACTCATGTACTCATCACTCATGTACTCAAAATTTCCGCCTTTTGCCTTCAAAATTCTGCATTCATGTATTCTGCATTCATGTATTCGAAATTTCAAAACTTCCGCCCTTCGCCTTCAAAATTCTGCATTCATGTATTCCGCATTCATGTATTCAAAATTTCCTCATTAACAAGTTTTCTTCCATAAATATATGCTCAAAAGAAAGACCTAATCCATAAAAAACGCTAGAAAACACGCTTTGGTAAAAAAAAACAATAAAAAGTTGCTACATTTGTGACTGCAAAGGTAGCTTGGTGCAAAGGCAGCAGCTTTCTTTTGGTTAGTAAAAAAAGCTTGGCTTTTGTGCTCCGCGTATGTCGGCACAGCCGACGCCATAGTTGCACGAGGCTTTGCAGCCACGCGCTAGCGTTGTTTGTGGCTGCGCCACGGGCTTGGGGATAGTCTCGGGCTAGCGGGAAGAAATGATTTTCTCCGTGATATTGGAGGACCTTTAGGAGATCCTTTGCCTCAACACATTGGATTTCAGGGAAATATAAATACCTATCTCGATAATGATATCATCGATGCATGGTCACTTGTACGAAATGCTAAATGCCCTAACCCAGAGACCATAACCTGTACCACCAAATTTACTTCTGATAACGAACTCCTTAGACAGGTAAAGTCAATGAGATCCCAAGCTCTTTTAATGCAGACATTAGGCGGTGATGATGGACTAAAGGAAATAATGCAAAAACATGAGCTTGCTGGGTGCTATACCTGTCAAGGCCAAAGTGTTGCTACCCCACTTCCAATACAATATTATATGCATAACTATCTTCGGGATGTTGAATATTTTGTTGCAAATTATTTAAACCTTGATGGAGCTCTTGGTATTATTGATGGGCAATATAGCATAAAGTCAAATGGGAGGTTTACAGTGAAAGGTAATGCTTTTGTACTAAGGGCATTGCGGCAATATCAGATTTCACCTGTTACACTCACTGGATTTGAGTTTAGATATAATGAGGTAGATCCTCTAATTAATAAAACTGCAGATATAAAGGAACTAAATGGAAAGTTAATCGAATGTAAATCTTGGGGATTAAATGCTGTAGCCTTTAATGCCTTTATAAACCCAGACGGACCATTGACTAATAATTCAAGAGGACAATTTATAGGATATTTAGGACAAGGAGGAATTAGCTCCATGTCGAACCTCGAATACTGGTTTGACAAACATGCAGATGGATTAAATTCATTATCCCTACCCGCCGCCGAAAACGCCGTCAAACTCCAATTCCAAAAAATGCTCTGCGCAAACTTCTATTATGGTACACCTCCTGGCGCCAACATCCCCTTCGTCCTCACCACCGCCGGGCAAGCTGTCTTCGACGCTATTTGGAGCAATGTGGCGTTGAGGGGGAATTTGTTTACTGAAACTTTTGGTCAAAGTGCTTCTTGGCTGGAAGATAACAAGGATAATCAACAACAAAAATTCGCAAATCGGTTGGCGAATATTACAGATTCATTTTTTAATTTTATAAAAGTTAAATGAGATGTACAAATTCTTAATAAAATTAGAAAATGTTGAATATTTTGTGGTTGAGGGAAATAATTTCATTTTAAAAACTAAAGATAAAAAATTGTTTATTAATGAAATATATCAACCAAACCTAATTTCGGTTGGATTTTATAAATATGGTTTCAAGCAAACTGTAGAAGTTGATAAAATTTCAATTTTTAACTCCCAAAACATTAAGATAGTAACCTTGGATAGAAAATCATTGATAGAAAAGTTCTTTGAAAATGGTGGTATTAGGCATACAACTAGTCATTATGATTATTCTACTAATGAATCTTCCTATAACTACTACCTCCACGACTTCCATAAAGACGATGTAAAGCTAATATTGGAAGATACGCCAAACCTTTTCGTTGATTTTTTGCCCGACCCGCAAAAGCTACTTTTCTGGCAGCCTTGGACAAAGGTGTCGGTTTTCTCCCTCCCCACCGGCACCACGCTCTGGGAGACAAATTTGAGCGAAGCAGGAGTAATCCGCAAGATACTAGGCATAAGTGGCGACAACCTCTGGGTGAGTGTCAATCATATCGTAGAAGCGGAGCATAGTTGGTTGGAAAAGCGAACCTACAAATTGGTAGTACTAGATATACATACAGGTGCGGTAAAAAAAGTGATAGATCATGATTATCGTTTTGCGGATTTCGAGGTAGTGTATCTCGAAGAAAAGGGTACCATTTTATCCTTGCAAGGACACCACAATATAGCCAACAGGCGAGAAACCTCCACCATTTACGAATACGATGCCAACACCACCAGCGTACTCCGAGCCTTTGAAGTCCCCGCTTTGGCAGAAGTACCGCTTAGCATCAGAGAGTATAAGTTTTTTGAAAACAAAATATACTTCACCGCTTCTGATGGTACTGTCATAGTACCCAATTGCATAGGCGTAATGGACTACCAAACCCTTGAGTTGCTTTGGTACAAAAAGTTGGGACACTCTGCCACCAGAATAGAAGTGACAGATACCAAAATCTATTTCATGA